TTACTACAGTCACTTCATTTTTCTGGGGTTACTGGCTTGCTCTATTTTTTTACTTGTTCTTGGAGGAAGGCCATTTAATTCTATTTCTAAGATTTCAAATATATGGTAAAAGTGGTACACAGTATTCATTTATAATTGTGAAGTATTTTCCTACCTATAATTATGCCCTAACATTTCAAATGCTGTTTATTTATACCCTCTCCCTTTTCTCAATATCACATTTGTCAATCGTTCACTTCACCTTTAAAAACAAAACAACCCACCCTTCTTAAAGTAACTGTAGGTCCACAGTAAAAGTGACCAGAGGTATAGAGCTCCCACATGGCATAGCCCAAACCCCACTAATTACAACCTCCCTAACTGTCAACAGAGCAGTGCAGCCCCTGAACCTACACTGAGGTATTGTCACTCTAGAGTCTGTGGTTTACATTAGGACTCACACTTGGTGCTGTGTGCATTGTATGGTTTGGAGAAATGTATAAACATACACATCCACCATTATATTATCATACAACATAGTTCCACTGCCCAAAAAACTGTTACATTCCAATTATTCATCCCTCCCTCTGTCCCCTAACTCCCAGCATGTCAGAATGTCATATAGTTGGAATCATGCAGTCTGTAGCCATGTCAGACTGGCTTATTATTATAAGATGCTTTTAAGGCTCCTCCGTGTTCTTTCTTCTTAGCATTGAATGATATTACAATTCTACACGTACCACAATTTTACTCATCCATTCACCTAATGAAGAACATTTTGGTTGTTTCCAAATTTTGGCATGGCAACTATAACCAAAGCACTGTTAACACCCAGGTGCAGGTTTTGTGAGTTTTCAGTTAATCTGGGAAAATACCAAGGAGCAGGACTGCTGGATCACGAGGTGGGAGCCTACCACTTTGCATTCGCATCTGCAAGGTATGAGCGCTCCCACCACTCCACATCCACACCTGCACATGGCAGCACCGAGGATTTGGGGTTTTGCTGATCGTAGTAAGTGTGCAATGGTATCTCATTGTTTTAGTTTGCATTTCTCTGGTAACCCTGCATGTAGAAATCTTTTCATATGCTTATTTGCCTTCTGTATATACATTTTTTTTATGAGGTGCCTGATAAAAAGTCTTTGCGTCCCCCTCACCTCTTTTTTTTTGAGACACGGTCTTCCCATGCAACCCAGGCAGGCCTCCAACTCTTGGTCAATCCTCCTGCCTCAACCTCCGTAATGCTGGGATTACAGACATGCACCACCATTTCCTGGCTTAACCCATTCTTCAGGCAGGTTGTTGTGCTGCTGGCTCAAGAGCTCTTTTCATATTTTGCATTGGAGTTCTTTAACAGATACACCTCAAACATTTCCTCTCCATCTGTATCTTGTCATCCTCTTGGTTTTCCCTTTTTAAATTTACTTCAAAGACTTTGTGATTCATCTTTTTGTTATTGTTGCTGTTCTCTATTTTAATATCTGCTTTTATTTTAAATACCCTCTTATTCCTGTAATTGTTTCTAACCTCACATTTCAAAAAGGCTTAAGTTCTATTTTTACCTTAGTATATTTTCTACTAGAGACATTAAAACTATAAAATCACCTGGCCTTTTTCTTAAGCCACATCTCACATTTGTATGTAATCTTATTACTTAGTTCTAATTATGTTAGTGTAATAGTTTATGTGTGAACTGAGACATGCCTCAACTGGTAGAACATGCACACAGCAAGAATGAAGCCAAAACAACAGCAACAAAAAATAGCTAATATATACCAAGAAGGCTAAGAGAACAAATTGCACAAAGAATAATAATGTTATTAGAAAGAGTAACTTGGACCAAGAGCAGAGGATCACAACTGCAATCCCAGCTACTCTGGAGGTCATAGGGGGAAAAACAGAGTCCCAAGGCCAGCCTAGGTAAAAAGTATTGAGATCCCCATCTCAGCAACAACAAAAAGGCTAGGCATGGTGGTACAACATCTGTAATCCCAACTACAAGATAGGCAGAGGTAGGAGGATCACAGTCTAGGCTAGTTCTAGGAAAAAAACATGAGCTCCCCTATCTGAAAAATGGCTAAAGCAAAGGAAAAGAAAAAAAAAAAAAGGATTGGGTGGCATGGCTCAAGTGGTAGAGCACCTTCCTAGCAAGTGTGAGGCCCTGAACTCAAAAGTTCAAACTCCAGTATGGCAAAAAAACAAACAAACAAACAAAAAAACCATGAACCTAAAAGATAAGCCTGAAGAATTCTCAGTAAATTGCTGCATTCCCAGGAGAGATTCTGATGAATACAGAATACAAAGAAAAGATGACAAGTGCAGAAGCATACTTTTTAAAGTGCTAGCTTAAACGTGATTAAAAAGAATCCCTCAAAGCACCAAGAGAACTGGAAAACAGGTATACTGAAAAACTAATAGCGAAGAATTCTCAAGACCAAAAACATGAGTCCTCAAGAGACTTCAAGGGCCCAATTGGTTATATTTTTTAAATTCACATATAGAAATATTACAATAAATTTCAGAATATTAAGAATTTCTGTTACAAGGCTCAAAGTTTACAATATTTGAAGCATGACTTAATTGTTTACAGGACATAGTCTAGAGGGAAAAAAAAGTAAATTTGGAAAAAGCAGTAGGCTGCAAAAACAAACTGACCCAGGGGGAAAAAGCTAAATAAGAAGATAGTTCTCTGGCTGGCAGAGTGGCTCAGGCAGTAGAGCGCCTGCCTAGCAAGTGCAAGGCTTTGAGTTCAAACCACAGTCCCATCAAAAAAAAAAAAAAAAAAAAAAAGAGAGAGAGAGATTTAAAAAAAAAAAGCTTAACATAAATGAAAATGCAAATAACTATCAATTTAATCAAGTTGAGAGGAGAAAGAGGAAAGGATAGAGAAGATAAATATGCTATAGTTTTTACTTACACAGGGAGTGGGTATAAATACTTAAAATAATTATAAAATTATAGTTTTAAGTATGCATGTACAGCCGGGCACTGGTGGCTCATGCCTGTAATCCTAGCTACTCAGGAGACAGAGATCAGGAGGATCGTGGTTCAAAGCCAGCCCAGGCAAATAGTTATTGAGACCCTATCAAAACCCATCACAAAAAAAGGGTTAGTGGAATGGCTTGAGGTATAGGCCGGCCTTGAGTTCAAGCCCCAGTACTGCAAAAAAAAAAAAAGTATGCATATACAAGTGAAAGGGTAACTTACACTGTGGGGGGCACAGTGCTGGCTTTAAACCCAGGACTTTGTGCATCTAGGAGTGTGCCTTACCTTGGAGCTATGCCCTCAGCACTGCAGACTGATTTTTAAAGCCAGTATTTAGAGATTCAATGATTAATCTTAGGTAGCCAAACAGTTTATCAGAAGTCTCCTACTTTTTAATTTATACTTACCACACTTAAGTACAGTATTTAATTGAAAAATGCTTTCAGCAGTATTGCAGAATAAAACTCAAAATGTCTTTGGATAGACATGTTAATGTAAGATAAACCCTAGTGTAGTTCACTGGAAGAGTTTGAAATATAAACAATGAAAAATCATTTTTCTAGTAGAGGTATCATGAACTAACCCTGAAAGTAAATGACACCAAAAAGTTAAGAAATGCCAATGACTTCAGGAAAGATGGCGAAATCCATGAAAACAAGTCATGACACTAGTCAAGGAGCATTTGCTCCTCATGAACCTTGAGAAGGTTACATGTGGTGTGTGTCTAAGAAAGAAGCTTTGGAGACCAACACACCTCTTTAACTCTTTTTTATAAACAAAACCCAAATGACTCGTTCCAAAGCTCAGATTCCACCCCAATAAAGTGGGAATAATAGTTTGTGGCCCTACAAAAATATCAGCGAGATAAAAATCAAATGGTGCCTAAACATAGCATGCTCAAAAATGGACAGTTACATTGTTGCTACTGAATTATTATGGATGGGGAAGAGGTCTGTGAAACAGGGGGATATTCTTGGTATTATTTAAGTGTGATTTACAAAGCATTCTGAATTTTAAAATCAAACAGGGAATGTTTTACACTTCTTTCTCAGCTCCTAAAATTTGTAATTTTTATTATAACTAAGATTGCTGGGCTGATGGAATGGCTCGAGGGGTAGAGCACCTGCCCAGCAAGTACAAGGTGTTGAATTCAAACCCCAGTACTGCACACACACACACAAAAAGTAATACATACATACATATATATGTGCATATATACATACAATAAATATACCTGTATATATTGTATAAAAGGTTGCTAATGAAATAAGACTGGTAGAATAAATGCAGGTTGTTATCCTACCACCTTAACAAGTGCCCCAAATTTCCAATCTAAGGAACAAAAAGATTAAGAATGGCATTAATACAGTCCCCAGTCCCAGTAATTTTTTCTCTTTTAAAATTAGAAAGATTTTCAGAGACAAAATATATACAACACCCAAAAAATTAGAATCCTGCCCCCAAACCAGAGAACCAGTTCAAGAAGCTGGTTTGGTAGCCAAGAAACCTTAAGCAACTTTTCAATTTTGTTTTGACTGAATAAATGTGATTCGGATGCCTAATAGATGTTTAAAACTTATGAACAAGAATTCTTTTTTAAGTGACTAACTGGGAAGACTTATTTATGTGCTCCCAGACTGTATCAACTGCTTTTGTTCAAACCTACTTTTAGTTCTGGGTTTTGTTCGTTTGTTTTGGTGTTACTAGGGACTGAACACGCATGCTAGGTAGGCACTCTATCACTTAACCATGTCCATAGCCCCTCCTTTTACTTCTAGATGCTCAAGAGGATATGTGCAGAAACTGAGGCAGATCCCCCAGTTACCTCGAAAATAAGAAACGTTAGGCCTGAATTCCCTAACACTACATTCAAACTTTGCAGATGAAGAATACAAGAAATTTAAGGTTACTAGTTGCACATTGGTTTGTTCACATTACTGGTATATACATCAACTCCCTGCTTGCATTTACAAATTCCACTTAACAGGCTTTCTCTGTTACTTCTAAGTACAAAGCTAACAATACAGGTCCTTACCTTCCATTAGCTTCTCTTTATCCCAATTGAAGTGGCTAAGGAGTATTCTTGTGATAGTTGCTGGATTCTAAAGGAGGGGAAAAAAAAGTCATTTTAAGGTAGTTGTATTTCACTGACCCTTTTTTTTTGAAACAGAGTCTTGCTATGTAGCCCAGACTGGCCTCAAACTCTGGATCCTCCTGCCTCAACTTTCTGGGATTGCAGGCGTGTACCATACCCAGTTTTTTTACTGACATTTAAGAACACTGAATTTAAATTTTTGTAATGCCCCACACCAAAATTTCCTTTCTTAGTTTTTTCTCATTGTTTTAAGTGGTTTGGTATTTGGCAGTGTGGGGATTAAAACCAGGGCCTTGGTACATACTGGGTTCCATTCCAAGCCCCCTTCCTAGCCTATTTCTTTATTCCCCTAAGTAAATACAAGACCAAGGCTATCTAAAAATAGTTTGCCATGTTAATATGTGAGGTTTCTACCGGATTCAAAATGAGCCAAAAAGAAATTAAATGATAGAGTAAATTACCATTAGCAATCAGGCACTAAGCCAGGCATCTTGATTCATGCCTATAACCCCAGCACTCAAGAGGCTGAGGCAGGAGGACCTTAAATTTGAGTTCAATCTGAGCTATATAATGAGATCGTATCTCAAAAAAGAAAAAATCAGGTACTAATTAAAAAAATTTTTTTGCAATTAAGATTTAACAGACTACCACATCAGCACAGTATTTCAAAGACATTTAACCAAAATGACAAAATATTTACACCATGCAATAATGGAGAGTGTTTGCTCTTCCACCTTAGGTGGCTTTTTCACTTCTAGAAAGAAAGCTAATATATGAAATAAAACCCAAGTTTAGTACCCTATCATTCAATGGTGTTACATTAAGGACACCTGCATTTCCCATAAAACTAGTGAGCTTCTGTTTACATACAAAACTTTAAAGCACAATAATGCCTAAGGCATCAAGAAACAAATCTGGATCTGTTTTACTTATATTTCGGATGTAATTTTACTACATCAAGTAACATTTCAAAAAAGATCTCTATGATCCAAAACTAGCTTTATTTTATCATAGTTAGATCACAGTATTAGTTAAGTGCTGATTTTTAAAATAATCTTTTTAAAGACATCTCTATCAATTGTTCTCAAGGATATAATTTGTCACAGAAAATATCACTAGCATTTATCTCCACTTGGCTCCCAAAGGCCGATAGTGTAGATAACTCCTCCATCCACCCCAGCACATTTGGCTCATCTAACTGCTGCTCCTTGCTTCTTTAATACAGCACTTCAGAAACCACCACCAATCAACAAATGTAAAAATGTGAAAAGAAGTCTAAGTTATAACATGTTTATTTGTACAGAATTAACTGAAAGAATTAAGACTAGGAGTAGTCACTGGCATCATTTGATTATGACTTTGAGGCACACAGTATATTACATTCAACCCCACGAGACAGTGCACACGGGGGCAAATATTTCAGGAATTTAGAGCCTGAACTTCCAAAGAGAGAAAAAGAGAACAAATGACTTGATCTTGCTAGCGTCTCTTCTGTGTGTCTGAGTTCTGGTAATCACTGGTTCCTGCCTATTACTGGCTTATCAAAAATCATTAAAGTTTTAATTCCTAAGTTCCACACTCCTATTTTTATTTAATAAAATATTTGGAGCACAGCTGCCCTAGGTGGTTTCACTGCCAAAGGAGTCAGACCACCCCTATTTCAGAGTGGCTGGCTAGGCATTTATATGCGCTGTGTATGAAAAGGTAATGGGGAATTACATTTATCATGCATTTATTGTATACCAGGACCTGTAGAAGGTATTTCACGAATCTTATAAATAAGGTATATAAAGTGCTTCTCAAAGCACTCTGTAAGGTAAATATAATTCACTACCTTTTGTGTTTTGTTTTGTTTGGAGACAGGGTCTCGCTATATAATCCGGGCTAGACTCAAACTTCTTAACTCCCCACCTTGGCCTCCTGAGTGCTGGGATTACAGATAAACAATGCCATGCCCAACTCGAACTCCACTTTTCAACATCAGAAAAACTGCTCAACATCAGAAAAACTGCTCAATCTCATGCAACTGGTTAAGCAAAAGAGCTGTGAATTCTAAATAAAGCAGGCCAATCTGGACCTAACATTCCTTCCATATACCATGCAGTGGGATAGGAAGCAATACAGATCATGTTTAGCTAACCAGTTGTTTTTTAAAATAATTTTTTTGTGTGTGGTACTAGAGATGGAACCCAGAGCCTCATGCATGCCAAACAAGTGTTATACCACTTGAGCTACACCCACAGTCCTTTTGCTTGTATTTTTGTTTTTGAGATAGGCTCTCACTAACTTTGCCCACACTGGCCTTAAACTTGCAATCCTCCTGCTTCCACCTCCTGAGTAACTAGGATTACAGGTGTGCACCACCCTGCCTAGCTTAGTTATATGTCTTAATATCCTTTAAACCCTCCACTGAAAGGTAATCCAGTGTCAAGTGGGGAAGAAAGCAGCAGAATACAAGAAAGCACAAGGGAGACATAAAAAAGGTTTTATGTCTTTAATATGGTGGTAGTTACATAAAATGTATACATTACTCAAAAAACACAAAACTACACATTTAGTCACATAAAAGTAACATGTCTATACTACAGTTCCCTTATTCATGGAATGTATGTTCCAAGGTCCCCAGTGGATGCCTAAACTGTCAGATGGTAGTAAGCCCTATATACAAAGCACTGAAATACCTAACCAGGCCGGACACGCCATCCACAGCGTGCTTCACATACGGAGTGGAGTACATGAGATCTCATCAGAATGGTGCACAACTTAAAGCTTTTGAGTTGTTTATCTCTGGCACTTTTCATTTAATATTTTAATGCTATGGTTGGCAGTGAGTAAAAGCAAAAGTGCAGGTTAAGGGAGACTACTATAATGTTGATTTGAGAAATCAAATCAGTCTGACTTCTGGTCACAGCCATGATGGAGTAACAAGCCCACTATAATCTCTCTACCTCCCAATTTAATTACAACTGAAAAGTAAAGGCAGACTACAAAGTGCAACTAACAGAAAACTCTAAAAATTCAATAGTAGGAGGCAGACTGGGAGTGCAGGGGTGAAGAATGACCAGCAAAAATGGTAGTAAATATCCTATTTGCTTTCTCTTCTTTATTCTTAGCTTTGACTCAAGGGAAATTATACACTGCATATGATCAGTAACAACAGAGAAATGCATCCTTCTGGTCAGAGGAGGTAAAGAATCCCATGGAATATCTCCTCATTTGTCTCTTCTGGCCACTCTTAACCACAAAACTAGACTGCTGTGGAGTGGCCACAGAACACTACAAGAGAAAACCCATCACTTTGAATAGAGGAAACCAGGAAGCGAGTGAGGGGAGTCCCCATTATTTTAATTTTTTTCTTTTGCCACTTCCCCAACAAGGCATAGCAGGCAGGAGACTAAAACTAAGAGAGCTGCGGTTCTGGCTAGAGAATAAAGAAAAGCAAGGTGCTGAAGTGCTTGGGGGAAATCAGAGGAGAGAAGTATAAAACTTCTGGGTTCACTGGCAATTATGTGGTTCACAGCTAGTAAGTTACAGGAGCAGCTTTCAGAACAGAACTACGATATTGATCACTGTCCAAGTTCCTAAATCAACCTAAGTGAAAATGGAAGGGGCAAACTCAAACACAGCAAAGGCTTTCAAAATGGAACCTTCACCAATATACAATGAGAAACACAGGCACACACCTGTAATGCCAGCTACTTGGAAACTGGACATCAGGAGGATTGTGGTATGAGGCCAGACTGAGCAAAAAATATCAGGAAAGGCTGGGATGTAAGTCAATGGCTGAATGTTTGCCTAGCATGCTCAAGGCTCTGGATTCCATCCCAATACCACAGGAAAAAAAAATTAGCAAGACCCAATCAACTAACAAGCCTGCAATCCCAACTAGAGGGAGACATCCATAGGCAGATCTACCCAAGGCCAGCCCAAGGCAGAAATGTAAGACCCTATCAGAAAAATAACTAAAGCTAAAAAGGATGGGGATGTGGCACTTGCACAGAGTTCAAACCCCAATTCTGCCAAGAAAAAAAAAAAAAAAGGAATGATCTTTCAAAATCCTGTGAGATATTAAAAATTATCAACAAAGAATTTTATACTCAGTGAAAGTATAGTTCAGGAATAAAGACAAAGATATTCTCAGGAAAAAGAGAACTCTACCCAACAGACCTGTCCTAATGGAAATGGTAGCTGAGAAAACTTCTCAGGCAGAAGATAAAGATACCAGAGTAAAAGCTGGAACTGTGAATGTAAGGAAGAGCAACAGCAACAGTAAATATGTAGGTAAATACAATGCAGTGATTCCACTCCAGTGGATCTACCCAAAGAAATGTAAGTCAGGATACAATAAACACCTGCACTCCCATGTTTATCAGCACAATAAGCAAGCTGTGGAAACAGCCTAGGTACCCTACAACTGATGAATGGATCAAGAAAATGTGGTATATATACACAATGGAGTACTACTCAGCCATAAAGAAGAATGTGGTTATGTTGTGTGCAGGTAAATGGATGGAATTGGAGGACATCATGCTAAGTGAAGTAAGCCAGGTGCAGAAAGACAAAGGTCATGTTTTCTCTCATATGTGGAAGATAGATTCAACAGATAAATGTACATACAAAAGCAAACATGACCATATACACACTTATATAGAGAACATGTCTGTAATAGTGGAACTACTCTACGGAACTCAGGGTAGGAGGGAAAGGAAAAGAGAATGGTAAGAGTCAACAACATGGAAATACATAGCATCTGTACAGGTAGATGACATGACACATACTGAAAGCTGTTGAGCAATGGCGGGTAGGACAGAAGGGGTAAGGACGAGTAATAGAGAGGGCTGAACTGACCAAAGTACAGTATATTCACAGCTGGAATACATTGAGAAGCCCCAATGAACACTAACTTTGAAATTAAAACGAATGAGAGGACTGTAAAATAGGTCATGTGACATGGGGGGAAGGTAACTGTGGGAGAGGGTGAATGAATAGAGGATATGAAAAAGGGTG